TCGCGTACAAGAAGGCTGCCAACGAGTCCGGCAAAATGCATGGAATATTTAAATGATTGAGAAATTCTGTGATAGATCGTATTTGGGCAGACGGTGGCCATTTTGAGCGCTCCCTACGAAGGTGGACAGCATTCCCTGCGTGTAGACTCCAATCGGAGTCCCTGCGTGTAGCCCCCGATATTGATCAGTGGCTCCAAGTGGAATCCTTGCGTGTAGACCCCGATTTTAATTACTCATAGTCCCCAAACAGTGTCAAATAGAGCACACTCAAGCTTCGTGACACTTCAAGAGGTGTCCAACTCTCAGTAGTTCACTTATCCGGTCGAAAATGACTTGCAGTTATCCAAGCATTCCTGTGCAGCTTTTTTGTAATGCATGACGCGCTCTGTCTACTTCTTCTTCTTCTTTGGAGTCCCTAATCGCTCTACCTTCATCGATTGGTATTCACATAGTATTTTTTATCTTCTCTCGTAACAACAGAATTGTTTTCCAAGCCTAACACCGGACTCTACGATCCCGGTCGGTGCTTCCAGCCATCGCCTCTAACCTCTCTACAGTTTTGCATACGCAAACGTCCGGCAACTGTTGGCGTCCGTACGTGGCGGGCAGCGGAGTCGTCTCTATGAATATTGCAGTATGTAAATTCAGCCCTCTTGAACTTGCTCTACTGTCAGCACTATTTTCTCTTTTTAGCCGGTCGACCCCCCCGTCACCCGTCTGTTGCATACTCCTCTCCCGCGAAGGTCGTCGCGGCCTTTCAATCTGGATGCGTGATTCGTTCCTGCGTGTCAAGGCGAGCCCAACCGCTATAAACGTTTCCCCCAATTTTATGGATCCCGACTTTTGGTAAAAGTTCGCGAGAAATTTCGTTTCGAGACGCTTGGAAGTTTGCTCGACGACGGAGGAGTTCGATCGTTTCTTCGGATTCTGATAAACAGACATTTGATGTCGCTCTAATGCAAATTCATCTTTTCTCAATGGACGAATGCACAGTAAAATAATCTGCAAGTTAAATTTTATATTCGTTGATGAAAAAAATTTGTTTAAAAATTTATTTTCTCGTTATACGTGTCGAATACTACGGGAACGCAGGGGCATGATTTTCTTGAAAAATTCAGTTTCAGTACTTTTTTTTTGCTGTGGTTATTTCGTTTGAAGTGCTTTTAGCCTTTGTAGACGGTTTTTAAGCGAGGCAGTTGCTGACCAGTTCCGCGTTGGTGATAAAATATTCCAAGCTTTAACCTCGAAACATGTCCTTAAAAAGTATTTTGAATAAAATAAATTAACTGTGAGAACAACAATTAACTTGGTACAGCCAATACCAACTGATTTATTACGAGTTGCCAAGACTGTGTTAGAATTATCAAGGACATGTTCTTGCATACGTCAGAGCTGGAAATACAATTTTTCTTTTTTAAAAAATATTTTTACGCAGCATTGTTTGCTTTCGTCCTTTTATTTTCTTCCGTTACTTCCCAGAGCATTACTGCTATTTGGAGCATGACTATCGTCCAGGAAAACTTACGCGTTATCGTTTCTTTCATCGCCGAAGTTTTTAGAGCAAGCGATTCGAGAAATGCGAGTTACTTATTCCACGATTATGCCCATGCAGGAAGCCATTGCTTGCGTCTGCCTCGATCGTGTTTCAAACTGGTTCCTGACTCACTTCGGTCATTATTAGTTAATTTATCGCGCGTTAATCGACCAGTCTGATCAGCTTCTTGTAATTGCAGTGGAATTATTCAAGGAACACTGTGTCTTAGAAAAAGGATCGTTAAAATCGTCGTCGGTATTATAAAAAATTGATACGAAGTACACGAGTAATGTCGAGTTCCATGTGACCCACCCGATATAAGAGTATCTTGTAAAATAAAGTAAGAAAAATATGAAAACTCTGAATGGAAATTTGAAACAACTCGTAGGATTGCCTGGATCATTTCCGCGACCCAATTTTCTTGCAACAACCGAGGTGCTACAGTATCGTTTGCCCAAGTTTCCACTTGACGTCCCGCAGAACCGCATCGCTGGTCGGTTGTATAGCGTTGACAGAAGGAAACAAGTGGCTAACTCCTATTTGAATCACAATACCAGACGTTGCAGAGGTTTCTCCGCAGTTCGAGGGAACACGGTGAAGCTTGGCACATCATGATCACGTAATGCACGCGACAGTCTCTTCTTGACGTGGAGACACGATTTACGAGCAACAGCTCTCGACACCGCGCTGATTACACCAGCATTTTCCTTTCGTTTTTGGTTGTTCTTACGGGCGGACGAGGCCATCGCAGGTGCCTTCGCGAAATTTTGCTCCGACTCGTGATAAATGACACTCAAACTCCACCGAGTCTTCCCAGAATACTCTCTACTCGAATACAATTGCACAATTTTTTTTCCTCTTAATTATAAAACAACAGAACACGCTGTGCAACTGATAATCTAATACGCTTGACTAACAATTTGACCACCCACCAGCATAATGCAAACGGACGTTTCTCGATAAAGATGTTCAGCTCCCCTGCTACCTCCATTCGCTCGCAAGTGACATGGGTATCTGCAACTTCAACGTCAGACTAACGACGTGACACGATACAGAAATGTCTGATATCTCCATGCGATTGTTTACGGTCTGCTTGAGCGGATTAGAACGATGTTTACATCACTGGCATTCCATTCGTAACATAATCTCTGATACGAGACATTAAACAACAACGACTTGGAAATAAAACACATGCACGGCTGTTTCGAATCAGCATAACGAGTAGAATATGCTAATCGTCGCGATACGCGAATGTTTTATTTCGCATTCAGGCGATATCGACGAGACTATAAATATTAAAACAAAATGCTCGTTCCCAAATAATTGTTGCTTGAAACAAGACTTCCGCTCATATAATAACTTATATCGCTGCTCTAGAAACACATGGAAGTATTTTTTAAAATTTGTTGAATGTCAGTATGCAGATAGTATTCTAATCCACGGTTCAATACCGAGAGCTCTTAATATGACGAATTGGTAGCACGCAGAACAGTGACTGACCTATCTTGTGCAAGACCATTAATGGTGTAACCAATTGCCACCCAGATGTGTTAAAAGAAGACCGACATTTCATTCCCCTGCTTGCAAACCTAGTTATGACACACTTGACCCTGTTAACCGTACGATCCCCCTTGATAATTTATACAAGGTGTAATATGCGGGACTAGTTTCAGGAATCACACTTGGAAATAGTACAATAAATTCACATAAACATACGACCTATTTAACCTTCATTGTACGAACTCTATTATTTTAGTTTCTTTTCACACATCCAGGCGTCGTTGCAAACCAATTATCCGCCATGTTATTATTTAGATGGGAATCTTTTCGGTTTGTTTACTCTATTTTACGAGCAATTTCGAAAGAATTAATCGAAATTGATGTTCGAAGGTCGTCATTATTCAGAAGCAATTTGCACGGGGTTCCGAAGAATGTAAATTGGTACACGTTGTAGTAATTTCAGGTTATGTACGGGGTTTCAGCCCAATTGACGCGTATAATGAAGAATAATAATATGGCGTACCAGGACCAGTGGAATAGGAAGTTACGTGATTACACGTCGGTTTTGGGGGGGTTCGTTAAAATAGAAGGAGAAACCAATCGCGACGTTCGAGCGTTGAATCTTCGGTTGACGGGCGAAGAGGAGCCGGAAGCTTTTAAATTATACTCGCGATCATGAATATAGAACGAGGCGGCGCTGAGAAAGCGGAGGAGAAATCGTTGATGGGGACGTCTTAAAGGTAACGAGCGGGTCCACTGGGGGAACGTTAATAATAACTAGACTTTGAATAACCAAGACCTCGTTTCGTCGCGCGGCGCCCGCTCAGAGGAGCGAGTAAACATCGCAAAAAGAACGGTAGAAACGAAATATGTGCAGCCAAACAAGTTGAAAGAGCAATTGCTAATATCTTGGCCGAGCGATTCACGGAATCGTTTAATTCCGCGAATTTATTGGCGCTGCAATTACAGGAGCGAGTGCACAACCTCTCTCGGGGATGACCTTAGGTTCATCGAATTGGCCATGAGCATCGTTCCGGGAATTTTGATAATTTATTTCCATATAGAATTTCGTGCACAATAATGCATTCGAGCGAAATCGCCGGGAGTAACGATTTATTCGAGATACGTTTCCTTGCTTCGTGAAGAGTATTTATTGCTGTACGTGTCACGGAGTCGCCGAGTTCAATTTCGTCACGTCGTTAGGCCTATTTCTCCATAACTTCGTTACCCATCCCACGCTCGCGACGCGAATATCGCTGCCAAGGTCCGAGCTCGTCTGTCCGTAAAGCAGACGTACGAGATTTCCCGATTCTTCGCGACGCTACTCGCCCGTGCACGCGAAAACGTTCCGTGCCAGGGTCATTATCGTACGTTTCCTTCCAGGCCCATCTCAATCGCGGAACGCCGACACATCCGCCGGTTAGCCGCCGCCGCGAGCATTATCAATAAGTCCCACTAGAGTCAAGGTCTAGATCACTTCGGCGTCGGATACCGCGTGAGAAACGGCCACTCGAGAACCGCGAGGCGGAGGCCTCAATGGGCGTAATTAATGGCGCCCGAAACGCCCGTAGTTCCGCCGGAAACGCGGAACACTCGATGAGGATGCTGGGATTGGCCTGATTTCCTGCAGACGATGTGTTGACGACAATAGGAAACGATACACACTGTTCCTCTCGCGATAAAACGTCGACGTTTCGATAAATATTGATAACAAGTGCCATTTTTGATGAAGTGATCGTTTAAATAATCGAATAACCCTTTAAAATATTAAAGTAAAATTCGCAAAAATGGCAAAGCTACAGAAGATTCGGTGGATGTAGAAAATATAATGTGGGGTCCATCGCTTCCCAAACTCGCCGCCAGAGGGACCGTTCCTCTCGCAAGTACTCTAACGCTGGTTCCTATTATGGCTATAGTAATTAATATTTTATACGAAATTTTTACACGAAGTAGTTCAAGAAATGTACTCTCGAGAACATTAAACATTTATCAGAAAGGGTTTCATAGTTATGCCCAAAAAATTCTTGAAAATTGCCTTTATTTTCAACCGCCACAGTGGTTTCCCGCCCTAACCTCCGTATCATTGTATTTGAACTAAACTTTTTATCGTCTAACTAGAAATAAAAGTAAATCCAGTGATAAACACGAGTCCAAAGCGATATCTATAGCTGTTGTAGATAGAGGTCTAGAGGTCAGCGAGTAATGGCATATTATTAAGTATCTCCCTGTCGTGCAGAGTAATTTCCTGCTTCCATTGTAGCAGCACGTGTCAATTAACCAGTAGATGTTACAACAAAAAATAACAAAGGAGCGACGGAGTAAGGTAACCGATTACCTTACGTTTTGATGGCATGTTTTCATCAGTACCTTCAATAAGCCACTGCAGACACCTTTATTAACAGATAAAATCCTGAAGTCGCTTAATTCGAACACCCAGAAGAAAAAAAGAAAATTGCACATCGACGTGCTACTATGAAACAAAACTATGGTTGCGTAAGAGGCTGGCGACAAAGGCACGCACACTGCTGTCTTTTCCCCCTTTCGGTCTAAAGTTTCCAGGGATCCGTAAGTCTCATCTCGAGTATCCGTGACATTAACATAATAACGACAGACCCGCAATCCTTGCGGAGTAATTGGTCGTCGCTATAGTGTGAATGGAACTTCGTGCAGTTAAATGCGCATAGCGAGTTTGAAGACTCGTCGTCAGCTAGTTTGTAGCCATTATTCGAGATCGAGGCACCTGCATAGTTGGGGAAAATATGCCTCGAAAGAGAATACGAGCCCACGCCAATGCCTCGTCTACGTTTCTATCATCCTTGACTCTGCAGTTCCACGTGTCAAGCTGCCCTATCTCTTAATTCCATTTAAAGCTATTTGCACCAGCCAACAAGTTTTAAGTCTGACTTTGGATGCACTTTGGCGTCCTCGAAAGACTATCATTCATCTGCGTCTTTCGTTTAGTATTCAAAGCTATTCAACTCAGCTTCAAATTATGTTAACCTTATCCATTAGCTGACAAGTTCTAGGTCTGATTCTGAGTTTGCCACTCGTCTCTATCTAGATGGATAGCTCTTTAGTCGCAGCAGTTATCGCCCAGTCCCTCCTAAAGCTGGTTGAACCTAACGACTGGCAAGTTTTAAGTCTGCTTCTGTATTTGGCATCGGGGGCAGGGATTAAGCAGTCCTTCTGTAGGATTCTGACGCCAGGACACTGTCTCTCCCCCGCGCTGGCAGGTGGTTTCGAGCCGTGTTATTCGAGCTGAGCCGTGTCAGACGTTGCATGCCGGGAATTGTTCGAAGATAGGGTGTTTACGATCGCATCGAAAGCACACGAAGTTAGAATAACCTGTTGAATCCGCCACGCTCATTAATAAACCATATATGGTTAACTAGATTCGAGGAGCAACGTCAATCCCGCATGCCATAATTATTACAAACGAAAACGCAATTATTTGACAACTATTGGCTGGTACCGTTCAACCATGAAACCATTAATGGAAACACGGACTAAATTTACACGCGATTGTGGTTGAAATCGTATTATGGCTCTGCCATCAGTGTGAACGAGTACACCTAGTCGTGAGTGGATCGTAATAATGTAATTTCAAAACCTGAAACCTCGTTAAACCGTCGCCTCAAACACGGATTGATCATAGAATCGCTACTATAAACTCCTTCTCGGTCGAATAATGCTGAGAAATGCTCCTGGTGTCCCTACACTTATCAAAGATCTCAAGCTAGAGACCTTAGTATTCCCAGCGCGTTAAACTTGCGCGATACTTCGAAGATTAGAAGTTCCGTTCAACGTGTGCAGGTAAATCCTGCATAAAAACCGGGAAACTTTGCCTCTACTGGGGTTTCCGCCCGTAATTCCAGGTCAGATACTTACGCATTATGTCTACGTTCCCTACTGTTTGCGTTTTACTTGGAAGACCCGAGAGGACGGTGTTTTTCGGGCAAGCTAAATATGCATACAACTTGTCTCGCCCGGCACTCCAACCAGAGTTTACTTTAATGTTAAAGTATGCTCTGCAGAGCTCCGGGGGGTGGTGGGATGTTTATGTGGAAAGTATACTCGCTGGTCGCGCGCGTTGACCTTTCATATGGGTTTGAGAAACTTCTATCATCCTTTCGTTTACATGGAATTACCAAGAGAAGTGTCTCCGTTGTTTAAAGTTTAGGATTACTTTGGCAATTTTTAAGTAGGCCCGTGGAATCACCGGATCACATTTTTTGGACCACCTACTATACTAACTGAAGTACGAGGAGTGTATATATAGCAACCGAGGGGTCGGTCGAGCGCTTGTGAGAGCGCGATCCCTCTGGCGGTGAGCATGGGAGGCTACAATAGTAAACAGATTTCAAGCTAACAGATTAACTCCTGTAAGTTCGCTTGCAGAACGCGTTTGATCGATTTAGCGTTTTTAATCAATCAAAGACACCAGTCTAAGTGGACGTAGGCCTCACTCAATTTTTCTAATCTAGGTATAAACAAAAAGACGTATGTAGGAAGGAATCCCCAATGTACCAACGTTTGCGTTTCAAACTCTATCGAAACATCGACGATAGGAGGTGGTAGAGTAGAATTTCGTCAGATTCTGACAGATATCAGGGCTGGCTCAGACCGCGAAACCAATTCCGAACTCCCGGAAGCGCGATGCATGTCGACACTCAGAACCGTTGGCGGTCGATGTCCCCCAGCATCTGCAGGAACTTCAAAGCCGCGTTTCGGGAGCAACAGCCTATACCCTGAACCGTGTTCCGGCGTCTAACATGCACCCAGGCCGTGTACACTGGAATGGAAGTCAGTGAGCCAGCAGAGGAGGACGTGGACTTATCGTTGGGCAGGATTAGTACAACCACCGGCATCGATCGTATCTCGGAGTCGTTGAACACGACGGTGAGGAACACGTTGCAAGCGGTCACCGTCTCCGTGGACTCGTATCAGCAGCCCCACGTGATCTGGACGGTGGTAAAGGGCGTGGTGATGATCAGTATCATCGTGACAGCGTTGATAGGCAACACCCTGGTGATAGCCAGCGTCAGACGTCACAGGAAGCTGCGTGTGCCCACCAATCGGTACGTGGTCAGCCTGGCCGCGGCTGATTTCTTGGTGGCGGTATGCGCGATGAGCTTCAACGCGTCCGTGGAGCTGACGGGACGCTGGGTGTTCGGCAGGGTCATGTGCGACGTATGGAGCTCCCTGGATGTCTACTTCTCCACGGCCTCGATCCTCCATCTGTGCTGCATCAGCGTGGACAGGTACTACGCGATCGTCAGGCCCCTGGAATACGCGGCCATCATGAGGAGGATCACCGTCACCTGTATGCTGGGTAGCGCGTGGCTTCTGCCAGCTCTGATCAGCTTCATCCCCATTTTCATGGGATGGTACGCCACGAAAGAACACCTGGACTATCTGCGAGACAATCCTCAGGTAGAGTTTGGATGGCTCGCGTTGAATTGAGGGGGCTGACTCACGTAAAATGGCGAAACGAGAAGTGATATTTGACAATTTTCTTACAGCACGAGGATCGAAATCCTTCAATCCCTCCAGAATCATTCATGGTCAGATACCCTGTATGTGGAAAGTGGTGAAAAGTTTCATGAGATCCTTATGCTGTAAAAAAATTGTTAAATATCACTTCTTGTTTTATCATTTTGCACGAGTCTCCCTTCTTAAGTGTAGGGGGGATATTTGACGTCCATTCTCGATAATAGATCTTGGTGACTAGTTACTAGGACTTGGATTTCTTACAGACAGTGTTCTAGGACTTCTTAAAATGATCAGTTTAGGGTACTTGCAGATGTATATGTTGCTAGAGTCATACCTATTATTTTTGTAGAGGAAATGTTTTCGACTGATATTTCGTTACTGCGTTTACTGCATGGAACTACGAGATAATTTGCAATTTGTACTCGTTTTTACGTTGATCTCGTGCACGAGCGCAGTTCCATTCGCTCATTTCTGTTAATAGAATACTCGATTAGGTATTTACACTTGAATCGCGCAAGATAGAATTCCAATCCGCGGAAAATCGAACGAGGAATGCAACGAAAGGAAACTATAGGCAAGATGAACGGCCTTCGAAATTTGCATAGAGATGATTTAGCGTACGCCTGTTATCCGAGCGTACTATAAACGGAAACTGAGGATTAATAGCTTTAATAATTCTACGTCCAACACATACGTTGCATTCCTTTGTACATTACATTGTTTCCAAATATTCTGGGCCTAGTTTCTTCGTCGTAATCGAGCTGTTTATTTCATTAACATCATCACATCCTATCGTGCGGTTTAGCTTCGAATTCTCAAATGTAAAATTGATTTCTCTTGTCATCGCTAAAATTTATCAATGAATTAGAACCGGACTGTAATTATTGCTTTATGGAAAAAGGATGAGACCGTGAATGGAGTGGAATAAGAAAGGAAAACTGATTCGACAAATTCCCGTGGGCGCTGAAAAATGGCCATGTTTTCACACGTCTGGTGTGTTTCGAGAGAGACGGGTAACATTTCCACGACTCCAGTTACGCAATGTTTCTTGTTCAACCGCAGTTAGCGTAGTTTCCAAACAACATGCTCCGTTATTATATCCAAAGTCATATTCCGTTGTTTTATAGCTTCTCATCCGGTATTCGAGCACTTATAACTTTGCTCGGACGCGTACACGGAAAGATACACGTGCCGGTGCACGTACATTATTATAATTTATCCCCGAGAAATTGCGGCCGGAATGGAACTAGCGACCGAAGGAAGATGGTGTGAAATTTATTGCTTTCCTTGGGAATTTCCTCGAGAGTTTCTTGAACAGCGTCATTACACCGAACTGTTTCGGACAATGAACGTCTGAAGCGTGGATCTTCCTAATTTCCAGCTATAACTTCGGGGAACTTTAGTTTCAATTTCGTCGCTAGTACCATTAATCTTCATAGCTATTTGTTCTCTAGTTGAAATGTATGGTTAGAAATATTTCTTTTAAAAATTTTCTTCGTTCATTTTGTGCGTTTCCTTCGACTTAGATTCGTCAATTTCGGGGTTTAACAAGCTCGTAAGAGATCACCAAGAATCTAAACGACTCGAGCAAATCTAAATCTTTCGATGGAACGTTCTGTTAAAAATCATCGTCGAATTTCGTTATATGGTTAGAAATATTTCTTTTTAAATTTTTCTTCGTTCATTTTGCGCGTTTCCTTCGACTTAGACTCGTCAATTTTGGGGTTTAACTGGTTCGTAAGAGATCACCAAGAATCTAAACGACTCGAGCAAATCTAAATCTTTCGATGGAACGTTCTGTTAAAAATCATCGTCGAATTTCGTTATATGGTTAGAAATATTTCTTTTTAAATTTTTCTTCGTTCATTTTGCGCGTTTCCTTCGACTTAGACTCGTCAATTTTGGGGTTTAACTGGTTCGTAAGAGATCACCAAGAATCTAAACGACTCGAGCAAATCTAAATCTTTCGATGGAACGTTCTGTTAAAAATCATCGTCGAATTTCGTTGAATCAGATATGCAAATTCCTGGTGAATAAACCATACGCGGTGATAAGTTCCTCGGTGTCATTCTGGATACCTGGCGTGGTGATGATCGTGATGTACTGCAAGATCTACAAGGAGGCTGTGCGTCAAAGGGAGGCACTGAGCCGTGCCTCCAGCAATACCGTGCTAAATAGTGTTCACTTGCATCGTGCGTCCACCTCCAGGCATCATTCCAGAGCGTCTCATCAATTATTGCTGCATCCGAGCGATGTCAGCGACTTTGGGAGGCCTATTTCTTACAGAACCGCCGCGGAGCTGAACGTGGAGAACGGTGAGTGGCACAAAAAAAGAAAAAAAAGAAAAAAAGCGAATTAAAATACAGGGTCGAGGATCGTCGGCCATGTTTGAAATACAACCTCCTATTTCCACGCAGGCATATCGTATGAAAACTTACCACTTTGGATTGAATTATAATTCCTTGTCGTTATAAAACAGTGTTACACTGTCTTTTCATTGCCACTGAAGCTGTTCGCACTTCCCGAAAATTCGTGTCGCGATACACTTCTGGCTCTAGCGTGATTGCACACGACCACGAAATTCTGGAGGTTTCGTATTTTTAGAGCGCCTCTTGGAAATCTATTTTACGAGACACGTATTAAGTGGCTGTTTTGAAACAACGGCAGAAAATAAACAATCCGTGATTCGTGAAAATTATTTTTGTCACGAAACACTTTTATCAAAAAGATTATTTGGACAGTAAAATTTATCGTGAAAAGATAAGACGCCAACTTCAAACGTGTAAAATGTTATTTTTCGGAATTTCCAAGTCGAAGCAAAATTAATAAAACTTAAACGACACTTTGCCTCAGTGGCGAAATATCTGTTGTTTTAGAATCGATTCCGCAAGTATTTTCGAAAGGGTTTCCATCTTCCAAGAACCAAACTTGCACCATAAATTTTCTGAACCTTCCACTTGACAGTTCCTACGGTAATGAAACTCTTTTCACTGAAAATTTACTGCAAATTGAAACTCCAGATTTTTTTTTTCTCTCCCCCTGAGCAACAAGACTTTATCTGTCACGAACGTTCTGCAAATTGGGGCATAAATAAAAGTCGAAAGACATTGATGGTTGAATCGAAATCGAAGGGAACGAAGAACAAAGAGAATCGAGGATCGTGCAAAAACTCTGTGGCCCCTCGAGACGTTCGGTTTGGCAATCGTATCGTAAAAATGCGTTTAAGTGTGGCCAATTACCGCGGGCAAAAATTACATGCGTCCGTAATGATCGAGATTGATGCCGTATGTAATTTTTCTGCCAGTTCCAATGCTCGTCAAGGTCAATAGTAGTGATGGCTGTTCCATTCTCTTACGAATTTTTAAGCAAATCACAAATCAATTATTCTATAAACAAAATGAGAAATTCAAGAACCCCAAAAATGTTTCAATTCTTTTCTACGTTTAAAGAACAATTCGTTCAAATATTTGTGGATTTTATTTTTGAAGCGTCCAGCGAGAAAATGAAAAAAGCTACAAGTTAGTTTAGACGATTTTCGAACGTTTAATTCTCCTATTTTGTATTCGATGTTTCGTGGTGTTAATCCGGGCAACTTTCGAAGCGTTTTGAGTCTGTCGCTGGTGCCATGGGACGACCTTAATCCCGTGGCGAAATTTCACGGTAATTTGTCGAGGCGGCGCGTAAAAACGGCCCTTGGTGCGACGTTCAAGGATAAACTTCGACTCCGCTGGGAAGGGAATTGAATGGAAACAAGTGATTCGTTCGGGGCTCGTAAGTCGACAATTAGACTGTTCTTATGCGAGGTCTGATGCCTCGCAGAAAGAATGGTGCGTTTTTTAATAGTCCAGAACAAAGATTTCGCGAATTGTGACATTAATTATTACCATTATTCATTATACGAAAGACGAGTGGAGTGTAATAACGTTGGTATTAGCAACGATGTGACACTTATCGAGGTAGCAACCGCGACAGTTAAAGGGGTATATACAATGTCCAGATTTTACTGTTTTTTGTTCTTATTACTATTATTTATTATACGAAAGACGAGCAGAGTATAATAACGTTGGTTTTGGTGACAATGTAACACTTATCGAGGTCGCAACCGTGACAGTTAAAGGGGTATACACAATGTCCAGATTTGACTTTTTTTTTGTTCTTATTACTATTATTTATTATACAAAAGACGAGCAGAGTATAATAACGTTGGTGTTGGTGACAATGTAACACTTATCGAGGTAGCAACAACGACACTTAACCGGGTACCTCTTTATTCGCTTCAGCGTCTACAGTGTCCAGATTCGACACGTTTGTGATATAATTTTCCAACGTTTTAAAACCTATATTTACTGTTTTTTGTTCACAAATGCAACAGATATTTTCTAACCCGATTGATGTACCCAATTTCTCTGTGTCTTATGTTTCACAACAGCAAGGAATTATAATTGAATCGAAAGCGGTAATTTTTCTCGCGTTACGTCCGACAGAGGTGAAAAGGTGGCGTAGAAATGGTTGGTTATATTTCAAACATGACCGACAATCCGAATGGCGCGGATGATCAGCGACTCGGGACGAGAATTTTTCTTATCGCCGGTGATCACAGCACGCAGTTGCGCGGCGATAATGGTCGCAATTTGTTACTGGAATGGTAAATGGAGCTTCTTAACTGAAGCCTAACTCAATTTCCTTTTTTGTCTTGACCGTTGGAACGCTCGGAAAGAACGGTGTTCCTTTCAATTTGCGTCACCGATGAAACGAGCCGTTTGGACGTTTGGCAAAATAGCAGCTGTTAACGTCAACGAATATTTAACATTAATTTACAATACCAAATTAGCGGGATCAGACTTTAACGCGTCACCATCGCCGGAGTTTTCTTTTAATAAGAGGAAAACGCGAGATTGTTTATTGAAATTCGATCAAGTTTGGGTAGTACAGTGACAAAATTGATACGATTGCGTGATAATAATAATAATCGTTAGTTTTACGTAATGGATGGACGACTGTCGGGCGACGTCATGTCGATCTTATGAATGGATCGATTTAACAGGCGGGCGAGAATGAAATTTTCCAGCTGGGAAGCATTTAGGCGTAGCGAGCGCCTCGTCAGCCTAAGTGTCGCTTTTAACCTGGCGTGGGTATCGCGCATGGGAGCGGGAATTTTGTCTCGACGGGGATGCATTTACGTCTAAATGCATTTCGCCTAAAATAACGCAGCGCCGGAGAAATTTAGTACTCTACGTGTAATGAACATGGCGTTTATTATTGGCGAGATGCATCGATGTGTCCCACGTGTTGGCGCGCATTATTCGAACGACGTGTCATTTTACACTCGAATTTATTTCGACGTTTATCGAACTCCCAACGTGACCCAGTCGCGATTAAAAGAATCCCCGATAATTTGATATCGAAAATCGAAAAGGAGTATGAACGAATTTAGTTCTGTTCGAGACAAAGAGATTACGGTTGAGAGCCACATAAAATCTGTCGGAAGGCTTTACGAAAATAAGCACGTTTTGTAATATCCCCTTAAATTTTGCAATAAAGTCCAATAAACACGCTCATTGGCAAACGTTCAATTCAGACTAAGTGGGAACTGGAACTAAAATAAAAAAAGAGTCACTCGTGCCGCGATAATCGCATTTCGGTCAAAAATTTATTTCCTCGTGCGACGATGGTCATAAATAAATGTGCTCGAAAATTCTCTACAAGTGTCGAAATCCCTTCATCATACTTTGTTTCGACGAATAAACGTATCAATTTCTGTAATCGACATTCAGCGCAACTGGTAATCGTGTTTGGCCGATCAGTCATCGTTTCACCATCGACTGTGGCCAGAGGTGCCAGAAAAGCACCGACGGTGCCCTACTCACACATGCCAGATCACGCGTACGTGAACTCGTGGAGTTTCGGAGAGTCGACAAAGGCAAACTGACACATGCCCTCTTTCTCGATTCTCCGAAGCTGCCCGAAGTAATTACTGACCGCCTCGTGGGAGTCGAGAGAGGAAGGCTCATTTGCCTTCTCGCTCTTGAACAACTGAAATTCGACCTCACGTCGACGGCATACGATTCCAAGTCTCGACTGCTCAGGTATTTTTTACTTTCCGACCTATGTATGTAGACGAACGTAAGCAAGGTACTATAATGAAAAAAAATTTTGTGAAATTTTTCTTACCGAAATACACGTTCTAAGACCCCCTGATCATATTTGAATTATTGAAAAAAAATAAATTCTTTTTTATTATTCCTATGTATGAGCGTACATATGTACATCATTTCAGATATCACTTCTGATACATCTGGCAACGTATAACCATTACTGCTGGCTACTGCCAGCCTCTCACAGCCTCTGCAGACCACCGATTATATTTCTGACAGCGTATAACGATTACTACTGACTTCTGCCTGCCTCTGCTAACCGCTGCTGACCACTCCTGTTACTTCTGACAACGTATAACGATTACAACTTGCTATTGCCTGCCCCTGCTGTCCCCTGCTGTCCTCTGCTAACCGCTGCTGACCACTCCTGATGCTTCTGACAACGTATAACGATTACTACGTGTTACTGCTTGCTCCTGCTGGTCTCTGATTGCATCTGCATGCCTTTGCTGGCTCCTGCTGACCACTGCTGACCACTGCTGGCCCTTGTTGACCACTGTTAGCCTTTGTTGGCAACTTCTGACATGATGTATATGTATTAAAACTTTGTATACTGTAAATCTATGGCAATAAATGAAATAATTTCAAAGAATTCTATGTGTTTCCATCATTTTTACCTTTCTTTTCCTCTCCAAATCATTGCCCTAGTTTTAAGAGACCGTTTTCCGGTTAAAATTCGATTCCCAAAGTGTCCAACTCTCGTACCTGCTGGCAAAATCGAGAATTCATTTTTTTCGTCAAAAAGTCCTGAAACAATTGGAAAGTCCTGAAACAGCTGGAAAGTCCCGAAACAGTTGGAAAGTCCTGAAACAACTGGGAAGTCCTGGAACGGCTGCATAGTCCTGAAACAGTTGCAAAGTCCCGAAACAACTAGAAAGCCCTGAAACAACTGGAAAGCCCTGAAACAGCTGGAAAGTCCTGAAACAACTGGAAAGACCTGGAATTTCTAGGAAACGCTGAAAATTCTTGGAAACCCTGAATTTTTAGCAAAGTTCTGAGTTTCAGGACTTCCTAGTGGGTTCAGGGAAACCAAGGAGTTTCAGGGAGTTTTATAACTAAGGTAATGATTTGGAGAGGAAAAGAAAGGTAAAAAATGATGAGAACACATAGAATTCTTTGAAATTATAACAATTATTGCCATAGATTTACATTATACAAGG